GTGTAATTAATGCAGACTTGCTTGAAATTGAAACGAGTGAGCTTCATTTACCTGGAATGGTTAAAGTGTTTATACTTCTGTTTATGCTATATCTTTACAGTAAATATCCCTGTGTAAAACTTGATTGGTGAAATGAAAGTGGGGCACTAATCACACTGGGGGAATACACTGGAATAAAGGTCAAAGAAATTCACTCACCTGAATGAAGCTCTATTGTGCAGGGTACGGACCTTTCCAGGAGGGGTGCAAATGAGTATTTCTGTTCATAGTCTGAGCATGTCTTTTTTGTATCAGCCAGGTTTCCTATGGGCCTAATGTTAACAAGATAGCTAAAAAACAGGCTGATTAGCCCTAAGGCATGTTTGCATGGGGTATTTTCTTCAGCTGAAAGGCAATAATACTTGCCTATGGGAAACAAAACCTCTATCACAGGAAAAGATAGCTTCAGTCAATAGCAGCAGCAAATTGGAAAAGACAAGAAAGGCAGCTTTGGGTGGGGGTGGAGGCTGAAGAGGGTGGAGCTACAGCTGATGTTGGCTTCGGTGTTGGAGTGGATTGACAATCACAAGGGAGTTTTGGGACCATATCAAGGGATCTGTGAGAAATAGAACTGAGAAACAATGAGGCACAATGAGTCTATACAATAACAACCCAAAAGATGCCCCAGCTAAAATATAACTCTTCTTCAGCTTGCATCATGTCTTTTCTTCACTGATGTAGGAATCTATGGGACTCCTAAAACATCCATTTTCATCTTGAGACCATGTTATATGAGGATCAGTTGGAAGAACTAGGGATATTCAGTCTGGAAGACTCAGTGATACAGTATCCATCTTCAAATATTTGAAGATCTGGATTTGTTCTACTTACCCACAATGGTCAAAACCATGAGCAGTGAGTAGAAGTTGAAAGAAGAAAAATTCAAGGTTGATGTCAGGAGAAGCCTCCTTACAATTGGAACTGTCCAAAAGTGTAATGGACTGTCTCTAGAGGCAATGGGTTTCCCCTCCTTGGAGGTCTCCAAGCAGAAGCTAGGTGACTGCATGTTGGGCGTAACATGGTAGAGATTCTTTTGGTGTATGTGTCATATTGGATGGTTGCTGTGGTCCCTTCTAACTCTTCTTTTTTTTTTTTTTAAGGCAATTGGGGTTAAGTGACTTGCCCATGGTCACACAGCTAGTAAGTGTCAAGTGTTTGGTCTGAGGCTGGATTTGAACTCAGGTCCTCCAGACTTCAGGGCCGGTGCTCTATCCACTGTGCCACCTAGCTGCTCCCCCCCCTTCTAACTCTTAAATTCTGTGATTCTGTATATGGAGGCAGGATTCAATCAATCAATCAATCAATGAACACTTATTAAGTGCCTACCACAGTGCCAGGTATTGGGCTTAGCAGTGAGGATACAAAAAGAGACAAAAGATAATCCCTACCCTCAAGGAATTTACAATCCATTAGGGAAGACAACATGTAAATATACACACAGTAAGCAACATACAGGATAAGTAGGAAATAATTAAAAGAGAGAAGGCACCAGAATGAAGAAGGGTTGGGAGAAGGGCTGAAAATAATTGTATTGCTTGACTTTTCTGTTTCTTACTTTCCTAGTCTGTCATAAATAAATGCTTTGTTATTCGATTTATGGTTCCTTCCTCATTTGTTGATAGAGAATGCATTGGATGAGGGTTTAATTAGACTTTCAGCCCACACACTGAACCCGAGTATTATTCCATAATTGGGTGAAATATCTGTTTGCCAGGGCTTGAGAGGTTCACAACCAGAGTTATGAAGTCAGAATAACAGGCCAAGTAAGGTCTTTGCTAAGAAAAATTAAGTGATGATTTTAGTGCTTTTAGCCAAAGATCATTGCAAAGAAAAATTTTAAATGATTTTTGGTAGAGCATGAAGTGCTTAGAATTAAGAAGAAGGGGTTAAGATGGCAAATTAATACCAGTATATCAAACAGTTAAATACTTAAGAGCTGAGAATAAATGCTAGAATAGTTCCGTAGAAGGCGGGGGGGTGGGGGGGTGGGGGGGTGTTTAGTTAAATATTATGGTAACAATGAAGTTTACTGACAGACTTTTATATTATTTTGAGCTATGCTCTAGATGGTATATTATATTGGTTATAAGTAGAAATTTAAAATTAATCGAAGTGTGGGTTTAATTGAGAGCCTTTCCTTGTACAAATACAGAAATGAATAGATCATGTGCTATATACCTTCTCTCAATTATCCACAACAGAGAAAGGTCTAAGGCTAAGCAGTGAGTATACACACCCATAATTGGCCCAGAAGAAGGCACTACCATTTCCCAAGTGGTAGCTACCTGAAGCATGAAGCACGGGACATTAGTCAGCCTCTAAAAGCTTGCTTTGCAACTGCAAGCCTCATTAGTGATGAGAATTGTCACCAACACAATCCATACAGTTGCTCTGTTGGTCCCTCTGGAGGTGGGAAGGGTAGCCAGACCTGTCCCTGTACAGCAGATGGTGCCATTTAAAGGTATAATCATCTCACTTGGGTTCCTACCATTGAGCAGGGAAAGCTTTCCCCTTCAGTAAATTGTTTCTGCCAGGTTCTCAGAATGATGCCCCACAGGGATACGTTCCCCTCCCATGAGAGAGCCATTTTTCTCTTAGAAGGAGTTTACCCATTCTGGTTCATCAGAGGTTCAGTCTTAGTCTATATTATTAACTCCAGAGCAAAGAACATCTAAACAGTCATTAAAATTTATTATACCACTCTGCATCTGATAACTAAGACATGTTAAGTGAGAAGGTTTTCCCTAAAGTATAATTAGTCTATGTAAATTACTTAAGTATTATAAAATCTGGAATAAAATGAAAATGAAAATTCCTTCATGACACTCTGACACCTGGGATTGTATTTCCCCATAGGGAGGGGAGTTGTACTCCTCACAACTCCATCTTCTCTTCACTGGGGTGCTGGCTCAGAAGAAGAACCCCTGACCAAACACCACAGGAGTTGAGTTTGTGCAGCTCTGAAAGGGACTCCAACCAGGATCTGGACTGGCGTGGGGAGGGCTGGATCTGGGACAGAAATAGCTACTTCATCATCAAAGCCTCCTGGCCAAGAGAAGGCTTTCATGAGAACTCAGCTCATTGTGTGAAAATTCAGATGACTGAACTATAATTAGCTCAGTTAGTCAACATTCTAATTCATAGGATTCTGGCTTTGATGTGCTCCTTTCTCATAGAATCAAAGCTAATGATTCTGTAATCATAATTGTGAGCTCAGTGCCAGCTTGAAACATGGGCTGCTCCCTTACCTCCTCTGCAAGGTGAGGTTCCAGGGCGTTCTCTACCAGCCTGGGTGCCATCACCAACCTGGCCCAGATGTACAAACTTTGCTATTTGCCTGGTATCATCAGAAGACATTTATTTCCTTTGCCCCAAAGGTAAATGCCCTTCCAATAGCAGGCTTCTCATATGGGATATTTAGTCCGGCCTCTATGCTACTGCCCCTGGAGCTATCCCCTCCAGCATTTAGTCACACTTCATTATTAATAATAATGATCACCATTATTTTATTATTGCTATTATTATTACAGAACAGTTATCCTTAAGGAGACTGGACTTAGGGATCGATTTAGGTTATCTAAGGAAATTATAGAAACTGTAACATATCACTTCACGTTGTAAAAATCTAGCACTACTGAATAATTAGCAAAACATAATCTGGTGGCTAGAATTATATGTTGGAAGCTTGTTACAGTTCATGTACTAACAGATAAAAAATATATGTTTATTGATTGATTGGTAGAGGAAAAATCTCCATATTTCAAAATTATTTTTTAAAAAATCAAGCTCAGGGGTCAGCTAGGTGGCACAGTGGATAGAGCACTGGCCCTGGAGTCATGAGGACCTGCGTTCAAATGGGACCTCAGACACATAATACTTACTAGTTGTATGACCCCGGGCAAGTCACTTAATCTCATTGCCTAGCCAAAAAAAAAAAATTTGCCTAAAGCGAAAAGAAAAAAAAATCAAGCTTACAGCCCTGGGTCCTGCCCCTTCCGCTCCCCCTCCCCCTCCCTCCCCCCAAGGTAAGAACTCCAGCAATAAGCTATACTGGAACCTGGCCATTATCATTGACCAAACTGTTACCCAGGATCATTCAGGTGTAACTGTGATCTATAAAATTTAAGTGTAATGTTTAGGAGCAGCTAGGTGGTGCAGTGATAGAGCACTGGCCCTGGAGTCAGGAAGACCTGAGTTCAAATCCAGTCTTGGATACTTATGACCCTGGGCAAGTCACTTAATTCCACTTGCCTCAAAAAATAAGAGTAATGTTAAATAGATGTCACCCTACCAAATACTCATGATCTCCAAGCTACATGAAATGAAAACCTTTCACAATATAAAGACCTTGCAGAGGATATGAAAATCATGTGGGAACAGGAAGGAACATATGTCTTTCCTGTTGTTCTTTCTGCTACTAGACTTGTACCAGGAAGGTACAAGAAAGCTTATAGAGCATGAGTATATATATCTTACTACTTTTATTTAGCCACAAAAAGTAGTTATTTTTATCTACCTGTGTACTAGTCAATAGAAAATTAAATATAAAAGACTAACAGCAGAATAGCAACTTGTCATAGGATCATTTCTATCTGAATCCTATGGGGGATAAAATAATGAGAATGAGAAAATAATAATGACACCAATAACTCACATTTATATAGTGCTTATAAAGCACCACACAAGATTTGTAAAGTACTTTCCTCACAATAATACTATTGGGCAGTGAGTGCAAGCATTAATATGCCCATTTTACAGATGAAGAAACTGAGGATCTGAGGAGTTAGGTGAATTGTCCATGAAACTTAGCTAGTAAGAGTTTAAGACAGAATCCCTGACTGATTCCATATCGAATACTCTATTCACTATGCCATACTGCATTTCCAGTTCACGAATAACATACACATGCTTTCTTGCCATTTATTGAAGCTGTCTTTATTTGTCTCTCCCCTGCTACTCAGGGCAGTAGGTCTCTGGATGCTTGTGGGGATTAACAAAATGTGGTAGCAAGAAGAAGGTCTTGTGATCAAGGTCATGGGGACTTCAAGGTATGGAGGGGATGTGACAGGCTTTCCAGCAACCAGACACAAGAAATGAAATTCTGAAGGTGAGAGATTTTGCCTGCTGGTGGCAGACTTTTTCCTTCCTAGGGTCTACTAATGAATCCACTGCCCATCCTCCAAGCACTCTAAGCTAGCCACTGCCACAAGACCCGGTCAAGGCTTCCTGCCAATGATTAGACAATGAAGGAAACAGCACCAATTCTTCCATGTGAAGGAGGAGCTGAGTCCCAGGTCTAGAACTCTTGAGTGACTGGTCCTGCTGGATAGATGACTTCAATACCAGTAGCAAACTGTGTTACATATTCCTTTACCTGCTCATAGGAGACCACCCACGGAGGCTAAGTAAATTGAACTGTGCATTTTCTAGAATTTCTGAGTTTAGAGCAGCCCTATGTACCATATAAAAATTGTCTTGTTCTGTGAAAGTCTCAGGGCTCACAGCCACATGGCAGATATATACTATTTTATTGCCTTTATTGATTCTATACCAGAGTAAAATGCTGTATGCCATTAAAAAAAATCCTAAAAACCAAGCAAAATCTTGGTATGACTTTGAAGCCCAAAGTATGGTTAGTTATTTTGTACTCTACAGAACCCACACCTCCTGCTGGAGAAGGCCTAGGATAGGATGGGGGAGGGGAAGTGAACTCTGCTGTTCGGGGGCTTTGGGTGGGTGGATTCCATCTTGTGCTGTTGATTGTCTAAGTTCACACAAAGTACGTCACACATTATATTCTCTATCTTTCCTTTTACTCTTACTGTTTCTCGTGTGTACTGTGTGTATTATTATTACACAGATCATGGAAAAATTATATGGTTTATTTTTCACAAGTGGAATATCACATAAACCTTGTTTGCTTTTTACAAGCATTACAACTAAAGTACTTACCAAACTATTTTCATAATTCTGGAGTAGACTGCTTTAAAAAAATTGTGCTGATTATTGACACTGTTTACTATATAAATATAATTTATTGTTCGTATCATTTAAAATATTATATACAGTTTTGAAGCATACCTGTCCTTTCTTGTGGGTAGTAAACTCCATTATGCAAAGGTCAGGTAACTAGGGCTTCGTGAAATGCAGCAATTTCAGGAAGAAGACAGGATTTCTGTTAGGATGAGACTTGGAACAAACTGTCTTTGGGGAAATCTCTACTATCTACACCCCTTAGATAAGTAGTTGTCTCAGCCACTCACAGATAGAAGGAACTGGGGGGATACAAGATCATCCTGCCCTCTCAGAACCATAGAGGTCTTGACTTCTCAGCACTTGTGCTGAGCACTTCTCAGCACCATGAGAGTGAGTGCAGGACTTATCCAACTCCTGATCCTTCTTGTTGAATAATATAAGGAGGGACGGGACAATAGGGATCCAATCCTGTTGGTGGGCGCAGTATGCTTTGCCTGCTGCTAACAAACATGGAAAATTGGTGAGCCTGCTTACAGACATGAGTAATGGAGGGCTCTGTGCTCCAACCTGGAGCATGTGCGCGTTTGTGCCTGTTTCTAGTTCACGTATTGGTAGGGAAGAAAAGCCTTTTAAATGGCTGCTGAGCCAGAACTGAGTGTGCATAGAAAAGGTTCCAATGGAGCAACTCGGTCTTTGACTCTCCTTGGAAACTTCGGAGGGAGGACATGAATTGCTGTGGGGGCCTTCAGGTGGGGGAAGGATCTCTAGACCTTATCTTACCTGGTTGCCATGAAGCTGTGAGTGTGTGGCATGGCTGTTTTTTGGTCTCTGTTGGGTTTCATTCTTTCCTGCTCTTAGGTGAATGAGAGTAAGAGATGAATAGACTAGTCTACAACCTTGTGTGTAAACACAAGCAGAGTTTGCCAGTAACAGAATATGGTGAGGAGTCAACCCTGAGGAGTGGCCTGTTTGATTCAGCCCAGTAGTGAACCTGAAAGTGAAGGAACAGCTTCAGCTATTAACATACCCAGAAGTGAACTTGGTGTAATGAATATTTTGCAGCTACCTCTTTAACTGTAAGCCTACATTCCCCAAGAACCAAGGTATAGAAGGAAGAGTGCGCCTGGTTTTGGGGGGTGGGGGTGGGGGCGGGAATGTTTCTGTACTTTGATTCTTGCTGTATCTGCTCAGTAAATAGCCCGTTGTCAAAGATTATTAAGGTTAATTGGTCATAAATGATAGAAGAGATAAGAATTGGTCAATATAAAATTATATTGAGGTGCTAATCACTGGTTAAATGACATTGAACAGATGATAACTGGTAGAAGGATAGTGGGGGAATAGACTAGCTGGGGACTTGAGTCAACAGCATTGGAAGAACCCTACTAATGCTTTAGGGAAAGAGTTCTTAACCTTTTTTTGTGTTGTAAACTCCTTTGGCAGTCTGGTGAAGCTTTTGGATTTCTTAGAATACTGTTTTTAAATGCATAAAATAAAAAACATAGAATTTCAAAGGAAAGCAATTATATTGAAATACTGTTATTAAAATATAAAAAAAAGTTCACAGACCCTAAGTTAAGAACCCTTACTTTAGGCTTACTCCTAAAGTACTGGGGAGGAGGGGTAGCTTAACTTTGAGGATTCAATCCACCAGAGCTAGGTGAGGTTAGGCAAGTAAACCCAGTCTATATAGCCTCAGGTGAGGGGCCAGTAGTGCCACCCAGTGGTTAAACTTGTAAGGTACTTTATGAATGTGTTGCCTTTCCAAGTAAGAATATAAGCACTTCAAGGTTAGGAACTGTGCTTTATGATTGTTTACTAATTTTCTACATGCCTAATGCTGCCCTGAGACACAGAAGGGAACCTGATAAATGTTTATCGACTGACTAAGCTGATACTGTATTAGAAGAGTATAAAGGCGAATTGCTAATGCAAGAGTGACCTCAAGATCCAAACCAGGAATAGAGGCAATTACAAAAGATTACATGTAACTTTGATTATGGGAAGCTGAAAGGCTTATACACAAACAAAATTAGTGCACCGAGGATAAGAAAGGAAGCAATAAATTAGGGGGGGAAATTTTGTATCAGATTTCTCTCATAATAATTTTGTATCCAAGATCTATAAACAAATAACAAATATACATTCATATGAACATATTTGTGTATATAACCAAAAGCCATTCCCCAATAGAGAAGTAATCAAAGGATAATGAACAAATATTTCTCAAATGAAGAACTGCAAATTGTTAACAACCATATGAAAGAATGTTCCAAATCATTAGTAATAAGAGAAGTGCAAATCAAACAAGCCCTGAGGTTTCACCTCACACCCTAAAAATTGGCAAAGATGGCAAAAAATATAATAGAATAATCAATATTGGAGGAATTGTGGAAAGATAGACACACTAGTGCTTTATTGGTGGGGCCATTAATCAATACAAGCATTTTGGAAAGCAATGTGAAATTATGAAAACTAAGTGACTGACGTGTCCATGCCCTATGACCCAGAGATTCTATAGCTAGGTTTAAATCCCAAGGAAGCCACTAATAAGAAGAAAGTCCCCATTTACACCAAAATATTTATAGCAGCATTTTCTGTGATACAAAGAATTGAAAATGAAGTAAATGCATATCAATTGAGGAATGGCTAAACAAATTGTGGTACATGAATGTAATGGGATATTACGGTAATATAAAAAATTACAAATATAATGATTATATAGAAGTTTGGAAAGATTTATATGAACTGATAAAGAGTGAAGAAAGCAGAACTAAGAAAACACCATTCAAAATGACTATAACAACAGAAGTGAAAAAACAAACACATACACAATGTAAATGTCACAAAACTATAAAGAACAAGCATGGCTCAAAAAAAGATATCAAAAGAGGATGCTTTTACCCTAACCCATTTCAGAGGTGGGATGTCTGTAAGTGTTGTACATCGCATATGTTTTCAGACTTCTTCAATGTATTGATGAGTTAGTTGTGCTGATTTTTTTCTCTCTTTTTTTTGTCTTAAAAATACTATTTGTTATATGGGATGACTCTCTGGGAAAGGAAAGAGAGGAATATTGGGGAAAATTATGGTGAATTTAAAAAAAATCAATAAAAACTTGTAAAACACACACATACAAATGGCTTATACCATCAACAGAACTGTTGTGGGTACAGTGGAAATGTGGAGACAGGATACCAGTGGGAAGAAGGTTGGACTCAAAGAGGAGAAGAGAAGAAGAGGTGATGTTGGGATGGGCAGTGAACCAAGACATTGTCCTTTGCCTAGTTCTGCCACTTCTAATGGTCCTAGCTGCTATTCTTCCTGAAGGCGTGCAAATGAAGGAAACCTTCAGATCCTTTTGCACTGAAGGCCCCATCATTCTCCCCCAAAGATGGCTATGGTGGCAAGGAACTGGAAAGGCCAAAGTTCTAGCACTAATCTAATTGCAAGATCTATCGTAGATAAAAAGTCATATTACAGTTCTTATAGACAAATTCTTAGAAAAAAAAATTCAACTCCCTGAACTCTCCTAACTCCTTCCCACAGAACCTCCAATGACCATAGATTAGGAAAAGATTCTGAATTCCTGAGAATGAGTTCTAGGCTGACATTTGTTTGCTGCTTACACAAAGCAAAGAATCATTTGCCGGCAGGAGAATGATAGAGAGAGAGAGGATTCTGAAGGATAAAAAGAGAGGAAAGGGAGCTGCATGCTGCAGGTGGGGAAGGTGTGTCTAGGAATAGAGGAGATGGAGAGAGGGTTTCCAGTCTTGACCCTCTCTTGTTTGGTCTGACTCGGGATATATGCATGTACCATCAATCCTGTTCCTCATTTTATTCTTCTATAGGATAATAAGCTGTAATTGCCTTCTTCAGATGAATGTCACTCTCCAGGTGTTATTTACTCCTCCTGTAGTTGAATGAATCACACCTACAGATTCCCTGCTGCACCTAGAGCTGTAACTAAGGTGGGCTAACCAGAATTTTGCCCTAGAGTGCCAAATTTAGATGACTCTGGCAGCTCTTGCAGTCCTACAGCACAGAAACAACAGAGTTTGGCTCCCAGTTAGCAAGAATAATTAGCTAAAATAGGAAGTTAACCAGATGGGCAGATGGGGTCAGCTCCTCCCTTTCCCCGCTATGGTTCCCTGGCTGTGTGGCTACCTCATACTGGGTCTCAGTCTCCTGTTTCATATTACTTGCCCCAGATGCAGAAATTGCTAGTTGTATCTCTGGCTTCCCCTTCCTCTGTGACTTTGTTGCACCATAGCCTTTTTTCCAGCAAAGCATTTTATAGCTACCTATAGACAGAGGTTTCTACATATTTCTTGATCCCTGGATACTGTGAATCATAGACATAGATCCAGTTCCTGTCTATCATGACATGGCATAGCTAGTTTATCAGAGCTATATAAGTGCACATACAACATGAAGCATTTTGCAAACCTTAAAGTGCTATGTAAGTACTAATTATTATTATTATTATTTAGCTACTTTAGGCTTTTCATTCATTTTTTGTTTACTTTTTTTTCTAATTATTTCCTCAGCGCTTAGCTCTTGATGACACTGATTCAATACAAGATTTGGTTACCCTACAGGGCTTTGGAACATTTGTCATATGGGCAGCCCATGGGATGTGACAGGAAAGAAGGTAAAAGGAGACCCAGAAATAGGAGCCAAGTACTGAATTCCCCACCTCAGCCCTATCCTACTTATGCTTCTTAATAACATCATGTGAGAAGATTCATGCCTCGGATGCCTACCTCAGGAAGTCCCATTCTCTTAGATACAGAAACATCTGTGCATTTTCCTACATTTACTCTAATATGTCTCCGGTCACACGTCCCCTGGCATCTTCTCCACTCCCACACCCAGTGTAGGCATTGTTTGGACAGTTTCTGTTTCCCTGACAAATAGAGAGATCTAAATGAAAGTCTTCAACTCTTTCATTGAGGACCTTTCTGTATGGATATCATGATTTACATAAATATACCCTATAACAGAATCTTTCTCTGATGCTTTACTGTGGCTTAGAGATTATCTTAGGTTCTTGAAGGCTATAGTAGTGGGGTACAAGGAGAAATGCCTTCAGGTATGAGCCATACATCTATCTTTTAAGGACCAGCCTAGCCAAATGTGAGGTGGCTCAATGACAGAAGGTTGGTCACCTGAGCATTCACTTGTTTTTCACCCCTAGTGATTAAGACACCACCTGTTGAAGCTTGGAGGCATTATTATTTATGTTGTTGGGGGTAGGGAAGACCCATGTCAATGAAAACATAGATCTTTTGAAGAAATGAAGTACAAACATATGCTGATACAATGCACATTGCTCCTTGTCTGAGTACACTCAAAATTTTGTATATTTTTAATTTTTCCCTTAATTTAGATTCTTTTTAAATTAAAAAATAAAGTTTTATTAATATTTTCCCCAATTAATCTCTCAAAATAGAACCGATTCAAGCAAAACAAACTGGCACATTGACCAAGTCTGAAGTGGATCTCATTAATTTATTGACTTTTCTGCGTTTATATTAGCTTCCCCAGTAAAATATAAGCTCCATGAGGTCAGGAACTATTTGAATTTTTGTTGCTATGTCCCTAGCACTTAACACAGTGCTTGGCATGTAATAGATGTTTAATTGAATTGTAATGAATGGAACTGAATTCCATACGTATAGTACATGTATTACCAATGCCACTCCTTCCACTTTTTTATCCCTTCTGAGTTCCACTTCCCCAGGACTTGCAGTGGAAGAAAAAGACTTTTCATCTTGCTGTTGTGACCTTCCCCAAACAAAGCTGGGGTTGGGGGAGGTGAAGTAGGAGGCAGGACTGGGGCATGTGGAAGTCCTGTGGCACAGTTAAGAGGAAACTACAGGGTGCAAGGTAACACCTAAAAATAGATTTTGTAGCTCAGGATGGCATCTTTGCTTTGTTTGGGCTCTGGTGGCTCATAACATTAAATGCAAGATCAAAAGGAGTTGAATTTATGGTGGAGGCCAAAGCAGGTAGTTTATAATTTATGAAGTTTTAAATGCATATATGAGGAGCAAAATTTCACAGCATGCTAAGTGAAACTTGTGGCACACCCTTTGAGGACTATTGGTCCATAAGCATTCCTCAAAACTTCTGCTAATGGGTCCCATGATCATACCACACTCCAAAAGGCAAGAATATGGAACAAAGGCAGAGGAGGAGAGGCATATCTCAATAGTCCCTGACCGGAGGAAGGCAAAATCAGCAAACTGTCAATCAATGACTGCCAACTCTTTTTAACCTTATGCTTCCAGGAGGAGACAATAAATTCCTGAAACATCCAGAAATGTTACATCCTGTATCATTATTCTACAATTTGGACTTGGGGAGGTCAATCAGTGTAGCTTTAATTTGTGTGTGTGTGTGTGTGTGTGTGTGTGTGTGTGTGTGTGTGTGTGTGTATGTGTGTGTGTGTGCGTGTGTATGTGTGTGTATACATATATATGTTTTTTTAACTTACATTTTCATACTGTTTTCTCTGATAGGATATAAGTGCCTTGAGGGCAGGAACTATTTTATTTATTGTATTTGTATCACCAGCACCTAGCATGGATCTGGCACACAGGAGGCAAATAAGTGGAGCAGTGGGTAGGGGCTGGACTTGGAGTTAAGAAAACCTGAGTTCAAATCTATGAAAGTATGTAATGCTTACTAGCTATATAAGCATAGACAAGTCACTTAATCAGGTTCCTCAGCTGTAAAAATGGGGGCAATAATAGTACCTATCTCTTAGGATTATTGTGAAGATCAATCAAATAAGAGAATACATATAAAGGGCTTTGCAAACTTTAAAGCATTAGCTATTATTGATATGAATTAGTGCTAAATACTAATATTATTGTTGATTTTTCTGGGGTATTGAAGAGGAAAAGATGAAGTTCTATGATACAATGAAATTGTTGTTGTCCTTTGGTCTTGAAGAGGACTGTGACATTAAGAAGGTGATGCCATGACATTCAAGTGAATTGGATTTAAGTGAAGGAGAGCTGTGCAAAGTCACCAGTTTCACTTTCTCTTCTGGAACCGGCTGGGTCAAATGGCGAGATATAGATCAGGACAACTGGAGAGGGCCTTGGATGCAATGGGAGACCTTGGCCTTTTTAAGCTAAGGTCTTCAACAGACATCAGTTTGACTGAGGCAGCACCCATTCAGTGATTAAGGCTAGGTAAGAAATGAGGCAGAGAATGGTCTCTTTACCTAGTTCAAAAAAAATATCAGCCTGGGAGGGGAAATGAAATGAAATACAATGAAATATTCAGCAATCAAAAGAACCCTGGGAAAGGCAATTGCCAACTGCAAGAAATTGGACATTAGTATTAGATGAAACAGAAGGATTCTAACTACTAAGGGAAAAAACAGACTCCTAATTCAATGAAAATGGCTGGAAAAACTGAAAAAGAATCTGGCAGAAATTAAGTTTATACTAGCATCTTAGATCATTATAAAACAATAGGTTCCAAATGGATACATAACTATTATCCATTATCTATGGATGAAACATCAAGTTATAAAAAATAACTGGAAAAAATGGAGGAGATTCCTTATACCACTATGACTGAGCATTAATTCTTTTTTTAATAGTATTTTTTCCAATTACATGTAAAGAAAGTTTTCAACATTCACTTTTATAAGATTTTGAGTTCCAAACATTTTTCTCCCTCCCTCTCTCCCCTCTCCCCTACCCAAGACAGAAAGCAATCTGATATAGGTTATACATGTACAATCACATTAAACATATTTCCACATTAGTCATGTTGTGAAAGAAGAATCAGAACAAAAGGGAAAAACCGAGAGAAAAAAAAAACAACAGTAACAACAAAAGATGAAAATAGTACGCTTCGATCTGCATTCAGACTCTGTAGTACTTTCTCTGGATGTGGATGGTATTTCCCATCATGAGTCCTTTGGAATTTTCTTGGATCCTTGTATTGCTGAGAAGCATTAAGTTTATCAAAGTTGATCATAGCAAAATGTTGCTGTTACTATGTACAATATTCCCCTAGTTCTGCTCACTTCACTCAGCATTAGTTCATTTACGTCTTTCCAGGTTTTTCTGAAGTCCATTTGTTCATCATTTCTTACAGAACAATAGTATTCCAGCACATTCATACACCACAGCTTGCTCAGCCAGTCTCCAATTGATGGGCATCCTCTCAATTTCCAATTCTTTGCTGGGCAAGAATTCTTAACTAAACAAGGGATACAGATGATCAGAGAAGATAAAATTTTGATTACATAAAATTGAAATTTTTTGCACAAAATAAACTCAGCAGGAATTTAAATAGAGGTAATTAATTAGGAAAAATGTGTAGCACATATCTGTGTTAAAGGTCTGATATCCAAGCATATAGGGAATTGATAGAAATATGCAAAAATAAGAGCCATTTCTCAATAGACAAGTGGTCATTGGATAAGGCAGTTTTCAAAAAATAAATAAATTTAAACTATCTGTAGCAATGGGGGCAGCTAGGTAGTGCAGTAGATAGAATGATGGACCTATTGTCAGGAAGGCTCATTTCCCTAAATTTAAATTTGGATGCAGACACTTATTAGCTGTGTGATCCTGGGCAAGTCACTTAATCCCATTTGCCTCAGTAAAATGAACTAGAGAAGGAAATAGCCAACCTCTCCAGTACCTTTTCCAAGAAAACCCTAAATGGGGTCATGTAGAGTCAGACACAACTGAAACAACTGAATAATGACAACAACAAACCTTTGACTAAGGTTTTGTTGACATACACTTATGTGCATATGTGTGTTTGTATCTCAAGGAGGTCAAAACAGAAGGAAAGATACGAAAAATTATACATACAAAAAAATTATAGTACTACTTTTTCTAGTAGCAAAGAATAGGGAAACATGTAAGGTGCTCATCAATTGGGAAATGACTGACCAAATTATGGTTTATGAATGTAATGAAATATTATTATGCTGAAAAAAATGATAAATGTCAGTTTCAGAGAATCCAGAAATCTTTTACAAACTGATACTAGCAAGTGTGTGAGGCTGGATTTGAACTCATGAAGATGAGTGTTCCTAATTCCAAGCCCAGTGCTGTATCCACCGCACTACCTAGTCCCCAAAATCAAAGATACAAACTGATACAAAATAAGAAGAATCAGGAGAACAATAAGCATGCTTACCACCGTGATGTAAAGAAAAACAACACTGAAAAATTCTAAATTCTGATTAATGCAGTGGTCCATTTTGACCTCAAAAGACTGATGGTGAAGCATCCTACCTCCCAGCAAAGAGGTAGGAGACTAGAGATAAAGAATGAGACGTATTTTTTCAGACATGACCGATGCCTAGATTGTTTTTTTATTAACTATACTCGTTTGTTTTAAGGAAGGGCTCTATTTCAGGGTGGGGGGAGTTGGTGGGAAATGACAGTGACACAAAGAAAAATAAAAGAGAATCAACAAAATATTTTTCTTAAAGTGTTTACCATTTACCATTTGGTGAGTTCCATAATGGATAGCAAAGAACACATTCTTTGCTCTCAGGTTTTAGAAGCAGCACAGTACAATGGAAAAAGCACTTGCAAACACCAGGCCCTACCCCCACCAGAGCCAAGATACCTGGGTTCTCAACCCATCTATGCCATTAACTACTTTTGTGACTTTGGGCAATCCTTACACTTACGTTTCCTTATCTGTAAAATTAAAGGATAGAAACATGAGATTACAGATTTGGAGCTAGGAGTGATCTGAGAGGCCTCTTGAAGAAGCCCTTCATTTTACAGATAACGAAAATGAGGCCCACGGAGACAAAGGGACTCACCCAAGGTGGCATCACTAAATGATTTCTAAGGTTCCTTCCAGCTCTGTGACTTTGTGGTACTATGGCTACCCAACAAAGAATTGTATACACAGAGCAACTTCAGAGAAGGAAGAGATCAGTAGGAGGTGGGGGAACAGGAAGTCAGAGTAGACTTCCTGGAGGAGGTGATGCTTGGATTAAAGACTGAAGAATGAATTAGATATAGATAGATATAGATGATGGTGGAAGAAATTCTAGGGTGGAGGAGAAGTGGACTTATAGAAATCATATGCCTCTTGGCTTTGAAGTAAGGGGAAGAGGACTCCCATGAATTTTCCCTCCGCACCC